GTTGACTAGTCTACACCTGCTGGGCACTGCATTACTCATTTCCTCGTCTGTTCAGATCAATGTATCCAATATAGCCATCAATATAGACAACCCGGGCTGGTACTGTGGTCTCATTGTTCATAATTTCTCCTTTTTGTGTCATATGATAGTCACCAGCCTAGTGTATCCTCTGTTGAGGTAAAAAATGCAATGAAAAATATTTATTTCTCTGAAATTGAGTTATTCTCAAGCACAAAACTCTTAGAGTTTCAAGATAGTACTACTGTTGGCCTTTTATGATGATTCCTAGTAACTCTGTGAAATTGAAGTGACAATTAATAAGTTAAGGCTTCCTTAGGGTTTGCATACATCGGGCCTTTGGCCTCTCTGCCAGGCCTAAATCAGAGAACACGCAGCAATGTTTTCTCCATTGAAAACTGGCCCTGGTTAGATTAACTTCTTTACTCAGGCTTACCAGTCATTAGCCCCATCGTATCCCTCAGGGATGATGAAGTTTTAAAGACTATAGTCTATGTTCCTTCCTAGGGCATTTTCCCTCAGGATTCAACATCACATATCTCCCAAATCATCTTTAATTATAGCTCTTCTTATTCTACTAAAGCTTAACATACATCAGTTCCAGAGCCTGTTTGATTAAATGCATTTTAATATTTTTCCTATGAATCAATTCCTTCTATAAACCAGAAACTTTATCTTATCTTTAATCAGTTAACCAAACCTCGTGATTACTATTAGAAAAATGTTTCTCAAAGTGAGAAAAGTTCTATAAACATTGCAATAAAAATCTTTTTTAGTACCAGTATCTTGTAGACTACTACTTATCTAAATACAGTACCAAATAGTACACGAGTCAAAAGAATGTGGAACATCGTTAATTTACTAACAGTCTGAGATAAGCATGTAGGCTACGATGGAAAAAATCCTTAAATAAACAAATAAAGCGTTGGCAAATTAGAAGTCCTGACTATAAACATGTATATAAAGTCTAAAGAAAGGCTCTGGAAATATAAACACGCATATGTCAATAATTTGAAATGAGCGTGCTTACTATGTGCTCGGCAGTTCTAGGTGCTGGAGATGCAGCATTGAAGGAGAATGTGTCATCTCCTCTAGAATGCCAGCTCTTTGAAGGAACTGAAGAAGATTCTTCCCTCTTCCAGGGAATGTAAGATTCTAGAGGAGGAGCTTATGGTTGAAGGAGGAACTTACTATCCATACGTTCTAACGATTTTAATGAAAATCTGTGGAGCATCCAATATAGGCAAGGTGGAGGATAGAGTAAGAGTTTTATAGAGTACAAAGTATGAGGCATGGCAGCGCTCTAGGAGGGGAGGTTGGGGTAGGCCCGCACTGGGGTCACACCATGGACAGAGGTTTCAGTAAAGGCCTGTACTTCCCAGAAGTTTACAACCAGGGGGGTCAAATGTCTTTCAGTGGGAGAAAGGAGCTAGGAAAATAGAGAAAAGATTCTTTCAAGAGGAGGAGATTTTATTAGAGCATTGAAGATTAATTTCGAAGAGATGAGAGCATTCCAGATCGAAGAGACTTACATCTAATTTTTAAAACAAACCAAATGATAACATGGCAAACTGAATCCAAAATCAGTGGACATTTTGTATTTATACCATGCCTTTGTTCAAAGGGCTGACTACTTCATCATTATAACACCAAGGAAGAGACGCAAGAGAAAGTTTTTGTCATTTGTAAAATTGTACCAGAGAAAAAATAGTATTTCCCGTTTGTTCTATGAGCAGAAGGTGTAGGTCTTCTAACTTTTAAACTATAGTTTATTCTCTAGATTAGCCTATACTATAGGCTTCTCTACTATTGTCAATAAGTTGCTTAACCATTTACCTTGATTCTCAATAGGTACAAAAAAATTTAAACTCTCATTCTCTCTGTGATAGAGATATAGAGAAAAACTAGCGTGAAATATTTAACTGCCTACCACTTCTATTTTAATAATAAAGCTTTACATAATACCCAAGTGGTTAGGAATAACTTATTCACACCATAAATACAACTTTTAAAATGACTTATACAAATTAACCATATTTTATATGTATTCCAGAACATATTTTTCTACTCAGAAAAAAAAAATAAAAAACCGTGAAAATGAGTGTTATGGAGGGCACAAGATGGCCATTAGGTAGGGCAACTTTGATGAGCTTATTTTATATTATTTATAGTTATTAACTCCACTAAAGATATATGCTAGTTCTCAATATTAATCATAGGGCAATTCAAACTTAATGACACACTATATAAATATAATTACAAGACTAAAAAGAACACAAAGACACATGGTCTGTTCTGACGGCTTTAAGTTGTGCACCAAAAATCACGAGACTCCAAATTACACAATTATCAAAGGTTACAAATTTCCACCTTTGTCCCTCCCTTCCATTTTCCTCTAATGATTCCAAGCATTTTTAATTTCTCTATTACCTTCCATTTCCCAATAACCTCTCAAAATGTCAATCTGTTAGTGAAAATACCTTTCCTTGGGTGCTAATATTATAAAATCATGTTTTCAATCTTCATTTTGGGACTCAAGACCCTAAGAGATCTTTTTCACTACTTGTAAACTTTGGACAGAAAGTGATAGGCATTTAAATGTTGATTTCTTCACAAATAGCTTGAGGGAAAGCTGCAAAGGATTCATCTGTCTAGCAGGGGAAGACTTCATGCTTTCTGTGACCATTCCGTTAAAAACAGTTACTGAAACAGGACTTAAGTTAGCATTTATCTCCAACATACTTCATGCCTGTTAGCTGCTTTAAATATGTGGGAAACCGATAACCATGTTGTCTGAACTTCAGTGGATATAGATCCCAGGACTGACCTTGCCCCAGGATCACACTAGGAAGGGAGTTGCCCTTATTTTGAAGTAAGATGCCATGAAAACCCATTACGGCCAATCACTTAGAAACCTTTAAATTTCTAAAGTACAACTCAGCATTCCACAGCCCCTGCTTTGGGTTTGTTTGGTTCTCAGTCTGGAGACTGAGCCATAAAACGTTTGACATGGCAGAAACAGAATCAGCAGGTCCTGGTAAGACTTTAGTAAATTTAAGCAAGATTTTTAAATTTTAAAAGAATATCTATAGAAGGAGAGGAAAAGAATGTAAAAATGGTCTATCTGCTCTCTTTCCTAGAAGAACTTCATAAATTCAAAAAATATGAGTAGTCAGCTGCCAGAAAGATAATAGGGAGAAAGCAGAATACCCACCCCTAATGTAAAAAAACCAAGGAGAATGGTGAAAATGGAGATCCAACCCATCCCTGGCTTAGATAAGCCCTATACTCCTGAGAATATACCTTGCAGAAGAGTGGTCTTTAACAAGAATTGACTATTATCACTTGGGTGAACCCTAAGAAACACGCAGAATGTGCATGGCCTTTTCAAGTCCTCTGGACTTTACCACAAGGGGCAGAGCTTCAAGGGTGTTCCTTCTATAGCAGTTGCCATTTGAAACCCCAAACCAGTCCCATCCAGTAAGTTTCATTAAGACCAAAACTTGCTGACTTGAAGTTTTTGAAGTTTATAATTCACCCAGAGATGGGGTCAGCCCCAGCTCTTAGAGACATTCTAAGCTCCTCTGCCACTGAACAAATAAGAAGCTTCTTAAGGGAAGATGGTCCTGGAGAACATCTCAGGGATAAAGACCATAAAAGTACTGACAGGCTTCGGTCTCACTATGGCTGTCCACTCCTAGGTTCTGGTTTCCTAAAAATAGCCCTCAGGGTACAGATCCCTCTTTTCCTTTGCCCTAAGAAAGCTAAAGAACTCTCCAAAGGGAGTGGCCACTTCTGTCTGAAACCTGATGCTAGCTGTGAGGTCACAGCTTCCCCAGAAATAAAAGGCAGCCTCAGCAAGGGAGGCCCCCACTCAGGGACTGGAGCAGCCCTCAACTAACTCTTCAGCGTCGTCACCGTTCCGCAGCCCAGCAGCTCCATCATGGTGGGTCCTAAGAGAAAACTATTTGTCGTTATACGCAAATGTGAATAGTGCACATGATCTTATTGAGAAGAAAGGCAGGTGAGGGGTAGAATTGAGGAGAGAATGTATTCAGTATGAATCTGTAGAATCTACTCTTGGTTTTTGTTGAGGGGGGTTGAGGATAGAAGAGACTAATTCTAGCTATTATGCCAACTGGAAAAATACATCTTACTCCCAAAGCAGTGCTTTATGCTTCACCAACTTTTGCTCTATCACATAAGGTTTATGATATCTAAATTTAGAAAAAAAACCTGCAACTACAGCAAAATATTGTACTTTAAAAAACAATTCAATAATGCCAGTATCTAAAATTAAGTAAACTACTTCCGATGCTTTGGGTAAAATGTAGTGGTTAAACCAAGAAACATTTAAGGTCATCTTTTTATTGCAGTATATCTGTATTTCTTAATACAGTGTATCTTTATTAGACTTATCTTAAATATACTATAGATGATTTTATTATTCCAGGAAGTATTTGCCTTAGCATTTGTTAAATCATTGATTCATTGATTAAGATACAGGGAGATGTTCCCCAACTATCTTTTGCAATAGCTTTTTATTTTTCCTAGATTCAAAAGTGTCTTAAGACCACCTTCTTATCCTATGACACCTACATGGCTTCCTAAAAATCTCAGAGCAGAGAGCACTCATTCTTCTGTCAATGCATTTGAAAGAGTACTAGTTGTTTCTTTCTTTCTCCCTTTCTCTCGCCTCTGCAGTCCTTCAGCGCTGACCAGATTGCGGGTAAGTGAACGGAGCTTCGCTACTCCAGACGTAGGCAGAGCACTGCCTAGTGTCTGAAATATCACTTATCTCCAAGGCATGTTACTGTGTGGCTCAACCTGTCAGTGTCCAAGCTATGCCTGAACTCTGAAAAGTAGGCTTCCTTCTGCAACCTACTTTGAAGAATACTCAGGATATGAGCTTGGATACACTTAAAAATCAGGACATTTTTGTTTGGTTAAAATATTCTTTGTGGTTAATTTCCTTCTAACAGATCGAGTTCTCTCAGGCACAGCAGGATGGTAAGTTTAAAAGATACAGTTGTTAATTTGTGCACACTCGTGAAGGTGGCATGTGAGAAAAGCAAGTCCCTTGAGATGAGATTAGTTCTTCTTAATTATTCCCACTGGTGGTCTCACTCTAAATATAAATACTTTCAACCTGAAGCTCTTGCTTATAATCAATAACCAAAAGTTTAAGCAAACAAAAGATAAACACCACAAAATATGTCCTTGTATTCACTGATTTCGGTGATACGTATATATATATGATTTCACTGACATATATATTCACTGATACATATATATGTGTGTGTGTATATATATATATATATATCCCAAAAAAAGGATGTAGATTTTGGATGGTTAATTTGTTAATCAAATCGCTAAAGAGAGATTTTGCAGGTCTAAATTGTTCAATTTGGAAAATAAAATGGCTTATGAAACTGCCCAATTACCAAATCCACACAATTTCAATGAGCATCATAGTGAGTTGAGAGAAACAGTAGGTGAAGTGGATATAGACTAGAAGTGAATTCAGAGAGAAAGAGGGAGGAGTAATTTATCATAAAACTGTGGAAGGAACATTAGATGTCTCCTAGTCCATCTTGAGAGATGCAAGACAGGTGATGGGACTTGCTCAAGGACCCAAAAAATTAGTGATAAGACCAAAATCTGGTATTAGTTTAAATTAATTAGAAATTTCTTTCATGAAAACAATTAGAAAACCTCATACTCTGAATATTCAAGAGATTCTAAATAGTTTCCCTAACACTTCCACTTTTTTTCCTTCAGATCTGTGGATCCAAGAGATCCTGTGACCCATAGGATTTTGTTCTTTCACTACAAGTATAGGGAGAAATGGTTAATGGAGTGAAAGTGCCTCATATCCAAGTAAACTGAGACATCTACAGAAGGGAGGCAGAGAAAAAATTTAGTTATATGATATGGTACAAATCAGAATATTGGTCATAATAATAAGTGCGTATATATTATATGTCATGATATATAATATATAAATAATTATAATTATAGGTGATTAATAAAGATACATATATATGTATCTTTACATATCTATTCAAATACTCACTTCTCTACCTAAAGGATTCCACATTTTCCAGTCTGTTTCAGTGTCTGGAATATCTCATGTTCAGACATCAATTAAGAAAAAAAGGACATTTGCTATAGTACAGACTCACACGTGTCTACATTATGACTGATGGCCTCATGTAGACAGATGAGATGATCTGATGACTCGGAACTCAAGATTACTTGAAATTATGCTACAAAGGACTGTTTTTTCTTATTGAAAACAGTTGGTGATTGATTGTCTTAAATTTGTCTGATTTTTAATGCATTTTTATCTAGTGCTGCTGCCACGTTATCAGCTACTGCATCCCAGTCCTCTCAAATATCTAATTTACAGTGTCGTTTTGACTGCCCAACCATGGTAGGACCAAGCAATAGAAGACTTACAAGCCCTTGCAGGGACAGAAGGACTCACTGTTGAACATTAAACCTATTACTCCATATACGAAATAGGTTTTCGATGTAGAGGTTCGGTAAACATTGGTGGGGGTGGACTGGTTTTCTCTTGTTCCAGGAAAGCAAATGTAAACATTGCAAACAAACAGAAATCCAATACTTTCAGAAATGAATGAAAACTTCCTTTGTTTGCTTCCTTGTTCAATGATTAAAGAGTTTTGCTCATGGCTGCTCTATTTGACTGTATCACAGGTTTGGAGGAAAGAAAAGGAAAAAAAAAGCAAAGAAAAAATGACAGCATTCTAAAGGTCTAAGTCCTGTGCTGTTCAATAGAGTCGCCACTAGGCACATGTGGCTATCTAAATTTAAACTTTAATTAATTAAAAACAAGTACATTTTAAAATCTGCTTTCTCAGTTGCACAAGACGTATTTTAGTGCTCAAGAGCCACAGTTGGCTAGTAGCTACCTTTCTGGGAAGCCCAGATATAGAACATTTTGATCATCACAAAAAGTTCTAGAACACTGTTGTTCTAGCCTGGGAGCTGGCCAATTTTTTCTTAAAGGGCCAACTAGTAAATATGGCAGTACTACAGTTTTATGGCAGTGCAGTCTCTGTAAAAACAGCTCAACTCCATCATTGGTGTGAAAACAGCCATAGACAAGACATAAATGAACTGGGCATGGCTGTATTCCAATCAAACTCTATTGACAAAAGCAGGCAGCCAGCCCCTAGGGAGGAGTTTGCTAACCCACGTTCTAGACTCTTTGACAGAATATCTAAGCCTTAAAAATTTGGGTAGAAAGACCAAAATCTTTCTGGCCTTGGTCTTTAAAGCAACAAAAAGGTTAATGTCAGAGACAATCTATTACAGCCCGTAAAATCCTATTTCTATGTCAGCATCTGAGCAGGGTCATAGCGAGCCCTCTGAGCAATCTGTGCATGACAGCGTGGAGCCAGTAACAAGAATAGTTCAGTTTCACATGTCCCTTAGAAAGATAAAAAATAATATTTGACTAATGACCCCACAGGGCCTGCAGCATGCTTTTTAGGTAGGGAAATGATCTGTTACAGTGAAATTGCATAGAATTCAAGGGGGAAATTTCAGCAAAGAATGATAACATGGTCTACAGTTGATTGTGAATATGATGCCTGATGCGATCTTAGATGAGGGGATAGAGGGACAGTAAAATAGGGGTTTTGCTGAGTAACCAATCTAGATAGCATCTTTTGATCTGAGACCACTAACGGCCTAAAAAGAATGCTTTTACCTCCACCAGTTCATTCTCAAATGGTTTTTTGAGTGTTGCTGGTATTAACTCCAACAAGTTGCCATTGGTACTTTTGGGTCCCCCAGAAACTTTCATTTAGTTAAGTTTAGAAGGTTCATTTAAAATGTCTTTACTGTCCCCTAAATCCATAGTATCACCCTTTTCTGTCTTTTTGGTGTACACTTCTTAATTCACTTTTAATGTAATTCTGAAAGGCAAAACTAGTTCTATCAAAAGAGAATGACAAAATTTAGGGAAAATAAGCGGTACAGTAATTGTGATAAAAGTGGCAACACTTCAAAAATATGTACTCACACACAGTCACGAGCACAAGTAAAACTAGGGAACTCTGAGTAAAATCAGTGGAGTCTATCAGTATGAATATGCTGGTTGTGACACTACGTCTACTATAATTTTGCAAAATGTTACTATTGGGGTAAACTGGATAGAGTATTTAAGAGATCTCGCTGTATTTTTTCCTAAAATGGCATGTGAATCTACAATTATCTTCATAAAATTTTAATTAAAAAAAGTATACTTAAATTCTAAAGCTAATCTGGCAACATGTTGTCATACGTATTATCTGAAAAAAGAGTAAAGTTTAAAGAGATTACCTCAACGAGAGATCCAAACAAATATTCCTCATTCTGGATGGATGATCCTAGGAGCCTATGAGAGTCACACATTGAAGTGGTTAAACGACACTATAGAACTTAGAGATTTGTCTCATCTTTCTAAAATTTTTCCTGAAAAATGAAGTTACTGCTGAAGAAAACTAGTTAAGGAGAGAGACTAAGAAATTTGTACTTCAAGAGGAGGCTTTCTATATAATTTGAGAAGTTTGAGTTAACCGCACATAACACAACCTCGACTGAAAATTTGTTTTCTTGAAATTTTATTAACTTTGTTAATTATATGAGAAATTATATAAGGAATGCTTAAGATCTGTCAAGACCTCACCTCAGAATTTCTTAACCCAGTCTGGTTTCCCAAGCAGACGAAGGAAATATGAATAAACATGACTAGGAGCTCCAATTTCCATATCTGATTAATAATAATATATGACTTGAAATTGGAAATGCTGCTTTAAAATAGGACCAAATGGAAATGTGAAAAGGGTTTGTCAATGATTGTTTGAGCCAGGAAAAGGGAGAGTCCAAAGATAACAGCTTAAGTGGTTGGCAAAGTTGTAAAATAGAGGAGAGTTTTGAACTGGATCCTTGATGAAGTTAGGCTTGAGCCTCAGGTCTGAGGTTGAAAAAAGCACCCTAATGCTTCTTGCTTCTTGCAGAATTCAAGGAGGCGTTTCTCCTGTTTGACAGGACAGGCGAATGCAAGATCACCCTAAGCCAGGTTGGTGACGTCCTTCGGGCTCTGGGTACAAACCCCACCAATGCAGAGGTTAAGAAGGTTCTGGGAAACCCTACCAATGAAGGTAACCACATGGTGTTCCAAGAGGTTGGGAAGCGTGTGCGTGCGTGTGTGTGTGTGTGTGTGTGTGTAAGAGAAAGAGAGAGATTTATTGAGAAATAAGTTCCACAGAATAGGACTTAATTTACTACTGATGGTAAGTGTGCCTCTTGGCCATCTAGAGGCTCAGTTTCTCGCCTCATAAAATAAGTCAACCTCCCTTTGAGAATTTGCAAGCATGATACAATTTCACGCTAATGAAAGGAAATAATATCTAATGCTAACATCATCATCCTCATCATCCTATCTAATGCTCAGAATTTAAAGGTCAATGGAATGAAATAATATCCAAATCTCCACATTTCTTGCAAACCTTCAAAGGCACAAATACATTTTGACAAAGATGTTAAATATGGCTAAAACACTATGCACTTTGTAAACAACTCTGAGTAAATTACAATGACACACCCCTAGAGCTCCAATCTGATCACCGTTGTGGAAATGAAATCACAGTGTTTTCAGGAGACTGACTCTGCCCAGTGGTCTGTCTTCTGACAACCTGCTTCTGTGACCTTTTTAACAGAAACTCGGCTATCTTAATTAAGAATAGACAGGTTGATATCTTAATAAGAGTGTTTTCTATTTCCAAAGAATTACAAAAAGACTTAAAAAATCTAAGCCAAAATCTGCATTCAGTCCCCCAAGGTAAACCCTGGGCCAAAAGTCAGTGAGATATGTAAGTGGCAAAATTTCAGAAGTCATTTGCTTGATACAGTAATACAGTCATCAGTCTGGAACAAGAAACTTTTTTTAATTCCAGTGGTTCATGCCAAAGTACAATAGTCTACTGGAAAATACCACCCTGAACACAAAAGATGAGACAAAACTGTACTTTTTTCAAGTAGATATTTAGGCTGCTTATCTTTGCCATAAAGAAAAAAGGAAGGGAGGGCAGATAATCTCTTTTTTTGCTTGATAACTGAAAAGTCTGTTTTCCCTTGTTACAAGATTTTAAGAAATCCTACCTCTAAATCAGTGTGCTAGAGTTTTCCTCAAACTTCATTTTCTTTGGAGGAAAATTTCCAGGTAAATCATGTAAAAAGTAGCTGAGACCATGAGATGATGTGAGACAGCAATAAGCCAAATCTTATTTTTTAAATGTCATTTTCTAACTTACCAAACATCTATCTTTAATGGAAATATTAGGTAAATGTTCATTTATTCAGCATTCAAATTTACTCTTTTTAATGCTACTCAATGTGCTGGATTTCTATTCTATGAGGAAAGACTAGTAAAAGGGAATTCTGATTTCAGGGGTACGTAACTTTATCCACTTGCACACATCTGGATAGTCTGTTTGATACTTTTTCTGTGAATGAGAGTTACCTTTTCAGAAGATACTAAAGAAAGTGTTATCATCTGGAGGCCTCTAAACTGCAAAGAAGTCGGGCGATCACAAAGTCTTTGACACACACACTCTCCTCACAGTCTTCTTTCTTAAATTACTTAAAATTTTTAAAAAATGAAGGCCCTAAAAAAGCTCAGGACAAAGGTGGACTAGATACTAAAGTTCGGTTAAGTTTTACTATATTTGTGTGCTAATGGATTTATTGTATCAGCATATTTTTAAATTGCTTCCCTAGTATTTACAAAAATATTAAATTGACAATACTAATAAAATAGTAGCTAACACTCACTAAGCACTCAGTTTGTCCCAGGTATTGAGACAAACTTTGCAGGTATGATCTCATTTAATGCTCGCACTAACACTGTGAGGCATCTCTATTTTACAGATGAAAAAGTGGAGGCACAAAGAGGTTAAGAAACCTGCCCACGATCACTTGGGTGTGAATGGTGGGTTGGGAATTAGGGCTCAAGCACTAGGGCCCAGAGCTCATGCCATCATTACCAGCTTTTGTCATCAGCAATTTACCAACTAAAATTTAAGCTATAGGAAGATTTTTCAGATCACCTAGAATGAACTCTCAAGTTTAACTTGTGACTCAAAGATGGCATTTTATGGTACTCATAACTCTCCCGATTGCGATTTCTTCCAGAATTGAATGCGAAGAAAATTGAATTTGAACAATTTCTGCCCATGATGCAAGCTATTTCCAACAACAAGGAACAGGGCAGCTATGAAGACTTTGTTGAGGGCCTGCGCGTCTTTGACAAGGAAGGGAACGGCACAGTCATGGGCGCTGAACTCCGTCACGTCCTAGCCACACTGGGTAAGGAGAATTTATTTCAGGGGACTTCATAGAACATGTAGGAAAGAACATGACTTAGGGGGATCATGTTATAACCAAAATTCAGAGGGGAAATGACTATAGACAAAAAAGAGTAGTTAAAAGTCAATGACCATTTCAATTGGCCTCAGTGTCAATGAGTTTGTTTTGGGGAAATGGTCACTTAGATTGCTGGTAATGAATAAGCAAAGAATAGCAGTGTTGTTCTTATAGGGTACAGTTCGGATGATCAGGTATAATGTGCACTTAATTCATTCATTGGAAAACAATTCATTGACAAGCTTCTAAGTGCCAGAGGCACAGGAAGGGCTTGGTCCGTATCCTCCAAGAGCTTGGACATTGGTTTTCAGGAGCCCAAAAGCCATCACATAGTGGAATTTTGAAAATGTCCCCTGGCCTTCTTTCTGAACAAAGAATTCTGTTTCATCAGGTGAAAGAATGAAAGAGGAGGAAGTGGAAGCCCTGATGGCAGGTCAAGAAGACTCCAACGGCTGCATCAACTATGAAGGTACAAACTCATGAGCTCTGGGGTCACAGCAACTCTTAACTGGTTGGGTGGATGATGGGCTTCTTTTGAGCTTAAAATAACTTCTATATCTCTGCCTCCCTTATTGAACATACACATGCCATCTATTATCAATCAATTACACAATAACTCTAAAAAGATATCCTGTGAGAATCCGACTATACACATAAGATTTATTCCAGTGGGATTTAGCACTCCCGTGCATTGTTATTCAGCTTAAAATGTGTTGTCATCTGCATGTTTTCTTGTCAGATCTTCGTAACATCTCTATAAGATAGACTGGGTTTGTGTCAAAATAAAATTTAATAGAATATTAAAGTTGGAGAGATCTCAAAATCCTTTACGGAAGCAGTTATGAGAATGAGGAAACTGAGGGCCAAAGAGGTTTAGTTGCTCAGTGCAAGTCACATCATTAATGGCAGGGCTGGTGCTAAATTTAGTTCCTCTCCTTGTCTAGTGTTCTTGCTTCAGTGAAAGTCATCTCACAGTCGCCAGTTATCTATTTCCTGCTACCAATTTGCAGCAGCTTCACCCAGAGGGTCTGAAAAGCAATGCACTACACAAGATAAAGATGTGAAATACAGTTGCATACAACTTGTGAATTCAAAATTTTCCAATAAAATTGAGAAATTTATCCACCCCCCCAAAAGACTAATCTAGCTACATTGCAATAAAGCTATATGGATAGCTTTGATGTAAATGTAGACTTATGAAGTCTAACGAGAAAAAGTGAGAAAAGAAAAGCAGAAAAGAGAAGGGGGGGAGGGAGACGAGGGAGAAAGGAAGAGGAGAGGAGAGGATGGGAGGGGATGAGAGGGAGCTGGAGAGGACAGGAGATAAGGAAAGTACTCAGCCAGCATATCTTCACTGACAATCTTGACTAAAGTTCACTTTTTCCTGTAAGCAATGTTTTACATTTGGTTATTGCCATAAATACATAACATAAAAGAAGATTCATTCAATAAATATTGTTTGGACAAATGGATAGTCATTTAGAAAATAAAGTCAGATCTGGATCTTATACCAGGATAAATTTCAAATGGGTCAAAAATTTAAATGTAAAAGCTAAAAGCATAAAAGCCATGGAAGAATTATTTTATGACTTGTGGAGTGGGAAGGCCTTTCTAACACTGATACAAAACCCAGAAGGTATTACAAATTTTGATAAATTCAGCCACATAATTTTTTTTTAAATATGTATGGCAAAAGCTGCCAGAAAAAAAGTCAAAGACAAAGGGAAAACCAGAAAAATAATTTGCAATCAATATTAAAAAGAGCTCATTTCTGGGGCTGGCCTAGTGGCGTAGTGGTTAAGTTCACCGGCTCTGCTCCGGGGGCCCGGGGTTCACAGGTTCAGATCCCGGGCGCAGACCTACACACCACTTATCAAGCTGTGCTGTGGCAGCGGCCCATAAAAAGTAGAGGAAGATGGGCACAGATGTTAGCCCAGGGCCAATCTTCCTTAGCAAAAAAGAGGAAGATTGGCATTGGATGTTAGATCAGGGCTGATCTTCCTCACCAAAAACAAAACAAAGAAAGAGCTCATTTCCCTAGTAAAAAAAATACTACAAATTAATAAAACCAATAGAAAAATTAATAAATACATGAACAGACAGTTCATGGAAAAGGAATTAAAATATATATGAATATATATATACTAAATTTCACTAATAATAAAAGAAATGCAGTTTAACACTACGCTGAGATACTATTTTTCAATAAACTGATTGCCAAAGATTAAAAGTTTGACCACACTTTGGGTTGAGGAGAGTGTGTGGAAATAGGTGACCTCATGCATTCATGCGGGGAATGTAAGTCATTAAAATCCCTACGTGCTGATGTGGTATTAACTAGTAATCCCAGCAAATCTACCTCGAGGGATGCAGTCTTTAGATGCACTTGCACTCAAGTGACACGAGTGATGCGTGGTTGTTCATTACTGTGTTGTTCGCAGTAGCCAAATCTTTGAACAACGTAATGCCCATCGATGTCGGATGTATCAAATAGATTCCAATGCATCTACACGGTGAAATTCCCTACAGCCCTAACAAATAATAAGGACACTCTTGGTTACAGTTATAGTAATATCTCCAAGACATATTATTAAGTGAGAAAAGCTAATGCAAAGAGTTTATAGAATATGCCACCATTTATGTAAAAAAGATACTTAGAAACCTGTGTTTGTATTTTCTTATACATGCATAATAGCTCCACCAACTTAGCTACAAAAAGAGGAAGTAGATAGCCGGGAGACAGTGGTGAGGAACATTTTTTTGTAATAAACTCCTTCACACTCTAAAGACTATTTTAACAATGTGAATGTACAACTTATTAAAAAAATTAAATTTACAAAATCAGGGGAAAGGCCATAAATCCAGCATTAAGAACAGTGGGCTGTACACAGCTTAAAAAAATAAACTCTAGTGTTATAGCTAAGAATAATTAGGATTTAGCTAACTTGCTAATCCTCTCTTTTACTAAATTTGACTGTTTTCTAACTCTAAACTGTCTGTATTTTGCCTACAGCTTTCGTCAAGCACATCATGTCTATCTAAATGGCACTCTCAAGGTATGTGTCTGTTCCCTCTTCACTGTATAAGGCTTTCTTATTATTGTATTTGTTTAAATTTAACAGCCTCACTTTATATTCTGTAGATATAATTAGTATTAGTTCTTAATTTAGTGTTGTTTATATTAACCAGAAAACATCAACTCTTTGAAATGAGTTATTTAGAAATAGAGTATTTTTGTATAAATGTACAAGCAAAAACTTCTGAGGTTTTGGCTTCCATCTATAAACCCTGTCTTTGACAGCACTATAATTATGTATCAGAGAATCAACAAGCCAAAGACTAGTTAGTTAAGTTAGTTGGAACATAACACTAATAAAAGCATGGGCCTAAGTTCTTTGAGTAACTGATGTACTTTTTAACAATTACTGCTCTAGAAAAACCACGTTTTCACAATCCAAAGTTAAGCACGTGCAACCAGGTTTTTTCAACTAGGATACGGCTTAATTTGGAAGTGCTGGTTCATTGTGTGCTTTTTCTTCTTTTACATTCACATTACTTCCTCCTCAGTTTTCTTTCTAAAAAGATGCGATCAACATCTAACTCATTTTCCTTTTCCTTTACAGATCATGCATTGTTTACGAAGACTGGCTGGAAACTCATTTTAATAACACCCATGACCAACCGTCCAGATCTGTTTACCATCATTTAGAAAAACACTGTGGACCGTTCTAGACTGAAGGACTCCCTGAATTTTTATATATGTTATGTATCTCTCTGAATTGTATTCACACCACACAAACCAAGTGTCTCCTGCTGACAATCTTACATCCAAGTACCACTCTTTATGTTCCACCATGGGTCATGAACATCCTTAAAATAATAAATCAATAAATAATTTTGGTCAGTCTGGAATGTTCAGGTTGCCTTGTGTTTTTATCCTCTTGCTTACAGAAAATAATTTTTAAAACCTCAATTCTTTTGCTAATATATAGAATTGTAAACTTTAAAATCATTACAGTCTGCTTAGCAGTAACAAATTGAATAATAATGATAATCATATATTATTGAAAAAGTGAAATAGAGAACTGAGGAAATTCAGATGGGATCTGAGAAGTTTTAGTGTGAACTATCCAGGCAATTTAAGATAAAAGCAGTTTTCTTCCGTTTTGTGTAAATCTTTGTGTACATGGCTTGACCTAGTTCACTTCTAGTGACAATCTGGCCTATTAGAAAATTCTAATAAGCCCGTGATCCTTCTCACTGAATGTCTTCAAGGATGAAATTTCAAATGACCTTTCAGCTGTTACCTAAAAAAACCTCTCTGAGGATGAGATTGTTACTCAAGGACTCAGGATCCTGTCTATTAATACTCTCTCTCCTGCTGTGATCCCTTCTACTTGGCACATCCATGTCCCAAAATCTTGGTTCAACCTTTTAATACCTGTCCTAAATGGTAAGACTAATTGATAGAAAAGATCATAGTGTAAACTTACTTTATCATGTCATAATGCTATCACGTTTCACTTTTCTTTAGAACAAAGGCAGAACTGGCAAGTTAGTAGTTGAATATTTAGAAGACATGAGGTGATAGAGAGCTCTCCCCCTCTCTTAAAAGAAATCTGTAACATATGGGATTATAAAATCTCTAAGAAGCACCTTCCTGCCTATACGTTTTTGGAAGCTGAAACGACTTTTTCCCCAATGTTGGGCACTTTAGGTCAACATGCTCCTTCTTTCTTTAGCAAATGTCACTCAGATTCCAGTAGCCACCATCTTCAACTCTGACCTATGCTTTTGTAGCCAAGATGATGTTGGGACATTACAACCATTCTTTTAAAGAAAATTCACTATGGCCTCAAGATCTTTAAGGCCAAGTGTGCCTGAGACCAGGAATTGGACATTCCACACAGCACTGTCCAATAGAACTTTCAGTAAAAATGGAAATCTATGTCTACACTGTCTTATTTGGTAACCGCTAGCTATGCGTGGCTACTGAGCACTTGAAATGTGGCTAATGTGACTGTGGAATTGAATTTTTAACCGTATCTCACTTTAATTAATTTAAGTAACCACATGCGGTTCATGAATAGCATATTGAACAATGTAGGTTTCAATATATGTTTATATTTGGTTGTTACATCAGGCAATAAAAAATATTTTTAAAAAATTACAAGTGTCACCATGTAGAGAAGTTGACTGGTACAAATAGTCCAACCATAAAAGGCTCATTTTTTGTTTTGGGATATGTGACTAAATTTCTCATCTTCTACACTCCTTTAACATTTTTCGATTAGAAAAATGTGATGTCTACAAGGTACTAAATTTTTAGTTTCAAACTTCATGTTTCACGTTTTTCCCTCAAGACCTTATGAAACGGCTTTAACTCTCAGGGGGTTACCATCTAGAACACGTCATGGGACCTGACCTTATTAAACTGCCATGTGTGAAATGCCCATAACTCACGTAGGAGCAGGTGCAAAATAGAGTCGCCGGTGGAAGAGTGACAGTAATTTCTAACATCTACACCAGCTGGCAAAAACGACAGGTGCTTAATTCCCCCGTCTTTAAAAATAACTTTCGAAAGCCTCCGCTGCATAAGCAAATGTTTTCAAGTTTGTTCTTTAACTATCTTCAAGTTACCGTCCTGACAAAAATGGAATACTGCACATTAATTTTTTGCCTCAAAGTATATTTGAAACAGCACACGGGAACTTAATTTATTCTCCTCTATGAATGAAATAAACAATGATTATTAAATTGGGGAAATAAAATTTTATTTTTAGACTTCGTGGTAATAGTTCTCAAGAAACATTATATCAAAAAGAACTATTAATACATCTTTTTCCAACTGTGCTTACATGTCCTTTTCCACAGTGGCAAATATGACTTAGAGCTTAATCGGATGGAGAAAGAATATCTTCCTTTAAATTCTAAGTCTAGAGAAAACCGTGAATCTGCGGATTTATTCAGAAAACCAAGTCTATATCCCAAAAGAAAACAGGAGATTAAACAACCAGTATCTGGAGACCAGACTAAAGAGTTATGCTCCCTTGAATTATCAAGATAACTGAAGCTGGGAAAGAGCAAAATGATGGAATAATTCAGGCAAAGATCTCACTCCTTACAGTTTGATGTGTGAGCCCCGGGCTAAGAAGAGTCAGTGCAAAAGGAAGGGTGATGTGGTTCCAAATGCCTCCTGAGAATCTTTCCAGAAACTTCATAGAAGATAATTTTCCTAGTTGATCATTAACACTGGTAGGAAGAACTACTAGCTATCCCTGCCTGGGCCTTCACCTGCCGGCTCCTACAACGGGATCGGCCAGAGCTGCTCTGAGCAAAACTGAGAAGCACAATCCCTGTTGGCCAGGGCAAACGTGGTCCATGCCCTGGACCCCTACACTTAAAGGGCCCCACTCTGGTCCTCCTCTAGGCACACAGCCCCGGAGCCAAGGAGTCTACCCAGAAATAGAGCATGCCACTTCCGGAGCTCGTGTCCCCACTCCTAGACCACACTCTGGATACCCAGGGCCCCAGACTTCACTGCCCACATGGCCCCAAACTCTCTTCCAAGACCTGGGTGGGATTCTTCTAGGTCTACCCTCCTCAGGGAAGACTGCCACAGGTGTGTGCAAACCAAAGACCAAGGGGTGGCCAAAGCAGCTGTTTCCATTTTCTGTTGTTCAAAGTAAGAATGGAGTTAACCACAAGGCCTCTGCAGTGCAGGATGGTGCTGGGGGTGGGAATTGAAGGATGGCAGGCCACCACATTGCCAAGGAGTCCAAGAATTCTAACCTGATCTTCCAAGTTATTATGAAGCCATATTTGCCAAGGGAGGACACCAGAGCATTTCTTATGTTACAGTTTGTTAATTTGATAAGTTTTAAATATTTAAATTCTTGGTAAGTGGACCTCTATTTGAGCTCTTGCCCCAGGCCTGCAAATGCAGGGGTGGACCTGCTGAGAAGAATAAAGCTCAGACTTTGCAGGGACAGATCTTGAATTCGCCCAGAAATACTCCAAGAAGTACTAGAAATGCTCCTAATCCACTTGAACTTTTAAAAAATAAAAGCAATTAAATTCCTTTGTCAGTCATCACGTAGGTGCCAGAGAAGAATTCCAGGTAGCAAATAGGTTAGGTTTTTCTTTCTATGCTTGAAAAGACAAAAAAGATGATCCTTTCCTCTTATCTTCCTCCAAACTGTGAAGGAGAAAACCAGCTCATCTCATAATATTCATGGTGTAGGGTAAGAATAAGTATAATGCCATTAGAATAGCATAGATAATCAATAATGCCCAGTGGTGCAATAAAACAATGTGAGTTTAAAAATGATAAGTAAAAATATATTTGGGGAAAATATTCTTATAATTTAAAAAAAATGTTAAAGACAACCCATAACACGTATAAAAGTGTAGTTAGTGGTAATCATTTGATGACAACTGGTGAAGTTCAGCTTGAACTATCATTCAGCAGAGATGTCCAAATGGCACACATATACTCATGCTTACTTTTCCTCCATCGTCAGCAGACTTTCTCAGGAAGAATGAGAGCACGTGCTTTAGAGGCAAGCTTATGTTTGAACTCTTCTGCTATCACTTCTGAGCTGTGTGACCACGGGGCAACTACCTAACCCTTGCAAATCTCAAGTTTATCTTCTATAAAATGGCATTTAAAAGGATTGTTTTATGAATTAAAATAAATTGAGAATGTGAATTATTTGGCGTGTGGCAAGTACTCAGATATTTTTCCCGGTTTCTTCAGTACTGTCCTCTGGGTTTATACAAGTATTGGATTAAATCTTTAATAACTCCCCATTGCCTAGTTCAAAGATCATCACGACATACAGGACATTTTAGGAACTTTTTCAGTTTTCTGTCCTGGTGTTTCTTCTTAATTACTCTTCCTTCTCATCATGCTGAATGGTGTAGTGGGTAAGAGCTCAGACTTGGGTTTCAATCTGTTCTGTCACATCCTAGATGGATAACTTTGATTATATCTCACATAAAATAGAATTCTTAGGAAGGCTTGCTGTGAGAATTAAATAAGACAACATAGATAAAGTGCCTATGTCAGGGCTATTTATTGTAAGGGCTAAATAAACGAATTGGTGGCAATTATTATAATCATCGCCTCTTGAAGTTGTTATGACAGTTCCTATTCAGAAAAATTATTTTACATCTTCCAAGACTTTGCTCAGGCATCACCTCTTCCATTGATCTTTCCTCACTTCATCCACCCATGAACATCCACCAGTGTGTGCCTATAGCACCTTGTACCTATTATCATTTTTATAATATAGCATAATTGTTTGCCTCATAATTTATCTGTATCCCTAGAACCTAGAACAGTGCCTGACACATGGTTGGCACTAAATAAATATTTTTAAAAAGCATGAATTAATGGATGAATGAAACTATTCCTAACGTCTTCCATTCCCTTAATCCTGAAGATAAGAAAGATATCCTACTGACATTTGTATCCTGAATGTTTACATTAGTAATCAAACCCAATAGGTACTCAATAAAAGCTTAGTGAATGAGGTAATGAATTAATGAACAGAAGAATATATTAATAAATGAAAATTTCTACAATTACAGGTAAGATAGCCCCGAAGTATGTATCCACCTTCTAGAACCAGACGGCAAATGGGTACACTCTTTTTGATTGGTAGTGTTTTTCTGGAACACTTTTTTAACCAGGACTACGTGGCTGTGCACGAGTTCAATATGGAAGAAGGTAGTGATTGACTAGCATTGAGAGAA